CGTTAGATGCCCTTAACAGAATAGGGTCATACCGTAGCTTCGTTTTTGAAAAGGAGGGTCAAATAAGCAAACTTCAAAAAGTAGGGTCAAATTGGTAGTTAGAGTTCAAAACGGGGTCAAATAAGCATATTATACACAAGCACATTTTACTTTAGTTTAGAAAGAAAAAAATTGCAACATATACATATCTACACGCATATTTTTTTTAGTTTACTAGAAAAAATGCCCGTGCGTTGCAACGGGTAAATGTGATTTTAATTTTATTATTGTTATACGGATTAGCCAGGGTAAAATTTACTGTGGGAATTCGCTTGTATATTTTTTTCAGAAAATCATGAGCTGCAATTAAGAGCCTGTATTTCATCTCAAGTTAGCATGCGAGTATTTTCAAAAGATTTCTTATATGACTCTTTTATACTTCGAAAAGAAAACAAGCTTAAAATCCAACTCAAACACGGATATATATTTCCAAAAACGAACGAACTTAAAAACCGACTCAAATACGGATGACGTACCAAAATATCGGTAAAAACATGTTCAATTTTTATAATAGTAGAGATACATGATATTGTTTTAAAATGATCGGAACGTTATTGACATTTTATATAATAAAGAAGTGTCTCGTTTTAAAAAGAAAATGGGACCAAACAATATACAGTTAATTAGAGAAAATTGTGCAAGTATGTAAATGATGTAAACTTGCTTATATTATTTACTAGCTAGCATTAACTGTAGTTTTAGCTTTGAGACGATATGTTAATGTTGCAGTGCATTTCTCCCATTAAGAGCAGGCAATACGTACGGACGATGTCGTAGCCCGTGAGTGAATAATCTACAAGAGAGGCGGTGTTAATTACGTGCAACTTGAACAAGTGACTCGATAATAAAATCCTTCCACAATAATTTGTACACATATCAGATCCCACAGGAAAATGGGGAGGACTCTGCCCGAGACGCGTCAAAACATTTTAAATTAATAATGCTTTTAACGAAACGGCCGGAGCCCCGGAACGTAGGTTGCGATTATAGCTTTGTTCAGAGTATTCTTGTATAAGAATTAATCCAAATCAGCGAATTAGTACTAATTGACTTCATCATTGGTTCTTATCCCTGATTATATGTTCTGTACATATCTTATGCTAGCTATATGTGGTGATGCACATTTATTTGCATGCATGCATGCATGGCCGGTATGAAACGGCTAGGGTTGAAAAGGTTATTATATATATATGTACATTTAGATTAATTTAATTTCGTCCAAATCAGTGGATCAAAGGGGTTAATTTGGAATTATACTCCTAGCTATAGCTAGCTAATAGTATAATCTACCGATAAAGTAACTGCCTGTACAAACCTTTTTTCCTGCGTACTGTTAGCTAGCTGCTCGATCGGACAAATTAATATTTTGACCCATAATGAAGTGCGTACTTACGTATGAATTACTATATCCCCCATTAATTAATTCGCTAATGTGAGGAACCATTTTTATGTGAAAGCGAAGTAGTATGAGCTTTATCCATACATACACACGGGGCTTTCGCAGCGAACAATTGAACAAGTTGGAGAAAGCGACGGTGGGGTGGCCCATAGATTTTGACAAGCTTAGCCCAACTTGGCAACCCACTTGAATTTTGTGCATCCACGGGCCACGGCCCACGGCCCACGGAGCAACAACGCGAGCATACGGGCCATCCCACTGTCTAGTTGGGCTCGATTCACCCAGAAGCGGCCCACTAAGCGCGAGGGGTAGCCTGGCCCAGTCCGAGACCAAGAAAGAAGGGATTTTTCATCAGGTACTATACTCTCTCTCCATCAAAACTAGCTAGTTAGGTGGCCCGTATAATTGCATGACTAGCACCTATATAAAATTATTTAAGTTGTTTTATACATGATTTTCTCAAATTTTGTTAAATAGTCGTCTCGTTGTATTACCATATTAAAAAAAAATCAAATATCGGGTTTCCAGTTTTATAGTAAGTCATACCAGTCATCACCCCCTTACTTTTTTTTTGCTACCCCTTAATTTACTTGTCCAATATGTCACGGTTTCTATTTATTATTTCATTTTCATTGAGACCTTTAAAATTATACCATATAGTTTTTAGAATTTATTGCCTCGTCAGGTTCTCGTTTTATTGTTTTTAGAAGTACCATCAAACGCTACTACTGTACCCATTTATTGTTTTTATTATTGAGTTCTGGATGATGTCTCCTTTTAGTATTTTGTTTATTTTTAAATTGTATTCCTACTTAAATTTTTTTCTGATCTGGAACTTAATTTTATTTTTCTTCTAAATTTTAATTAATCTCGTGTTATGTTCTAGATGGAATATTTTTGCAATATTTCTTTTTATATTCCGAATTTCAGTTTTTTAAATTTTATTCCTACTTAAACCCTATTTTCCTTTTGGTTAATCTTAGAATTTACTTCATTTGAATTTTAATTAATCTTGTATTAGGTTTTATATGATTGTTATTCGATATATTCGTTACTTTTAATTCTGAATTTCAGTTATTTATAAATTTTATTCATACTTAAACTCTCTTTTTCTAATTTCAGAATTTATTTTATTTTTATTTTGAATTTAGTTAAACTCGTGTTGTGTTCTAATGGATGGTCATTTCAATATTCCTTATTATTTAATTTCAAAATTATATTACTACTCGAAGTCTTGAACTCTCTATTTCCTTTTCTAATTTAGAATTTATTTATTTTTGTATTCTCAATTTTATTTAATCTTGTATTGTGTTCTATCTGGGCTCTTCTTCAAATATTATTGCTTATTTTCAATTCTGAATTTCAGTTATTTTTAAATTATATTTCTACCTGGACTCTTTTTTTAATGATTAATGTGGAAATTTTTAGGCTCTATAGCGAATGTGGTGCATAATTTTAAGGTTATCCTAATAATATAGTAGATGATAAGAGTAATAACTTATGGCTATGAATTTGCATATAGCCATAATAAGTTAATTCTTGTTAGAACGAAGAAAGTATTTTTCAAATATTTTTCAGGGTTAAGTTGCCACAAGCGTTATTCACATTTTGACCATGAAAACTTCTAAATATTTGATGTGGAACTAATATACTTTGTTAATATGCTATACTAACTTCAAGTATTTAAACTGCTAAAAGTTCAAAAATAAATAGGATTCCATGACAATGTTTGGATCTCCATTGTTGATCCTTGTCAATTATTTTACCTTATTAAGATATGTGGAAGTTGCTTTAAAATATCAAATATATTTATTTGTCAAGTTTGTAATAATTAAAACTTAATTAGTCACGTGCTAATATCTTTTCTTGTTGTACGTACATTAACTTAATCTTTATTTTTTATCAGTGAAGAAATGGTACACCAATATATACGTGTAGGCAGCACTAGTGTAGTGTGTGTACACATACATACATACATACATACATACATACATACATACATATATATATAGGACCTGTTTAGATGCCCTAGCAAGTTTTTTAATCCAGTTAAATCGAATGTTTAGACACATGCATGGAGTATTAAATATAGAAAAAACTAATTACACAGATTACGTATAAATTGCGAAACGAATCTTTTAAGCCTAATTGCTCAATGAATTGACAATGTAGTACTACAATAAACATTAGGCTTAATAAATTCGTCTCGTAATTTATCGGCGGAATCTGTAATTTATTTTGTTATTAGACTATATTTAATACTTAAAATGTGTGTCTGTATATCCGACGTGACATGGCAAAAATTTTCAACCTAAATCTAAACGCATCCATAAACCAAAATTAGTCGAGGACGACATGGTGGCCTAGTGATCTGATCGTGCTGTCTACCGCATGCTGGAGAGGCACGCGTCACGCCCTGATGAAGATCACGTATGGGGATTGGCAACGCAATTAATATAAGCTTGACCCATTGGTGTCTGAAATTGCAGACTCTGTCGATGATTGCTCCAATTAATAATGCACTCGCTCAGCTGATTAACGCTCAATTTAATGTACAAATTCATTAAGAAATTAAATAGTCATCCTACATGTTCCTCTACATGTGAGCTTAGCGTAGTGGGAGAGCGGGACAAAAGATGCTCGATCTGGAAATTAACCATCGCATCGATGGAGAGCTAGCTTGATGAGGCATCGATCCTGACATTGTACTACCCCTATGGAGGAAGGCTGATTTCATTTTGTGCATACACCGTGCAGATTGCTTTCCAAAATCATTGATCATAAAATCTTTTTAAGTAAATTTCATCAAATACAAATGATTCGCAAAATTATCGCAAAACCGTATCTTTCGAATGCGTTGTGAAGTATATGAAACTGTAGATAGAAGTAGAACATGTAAAAAAATAGTTTTATAATAAATTTGACGATTTGACTACAAGCCAATAATATATATTGTGGTAAACTTGAGAATAACATTACAGCATTGTTGCAGTTTTTATGAAGTTCATGCAGTTTTTTTCCCTATGGTATTGGATCATTATCTATTTTCAGAAGCTTTGCCAATACCTACGGGGTGAGAATAACCATCCCCTAAATTCGGCTCTGATTGTGGTTGAGTTAGGGCTAATGAGATATAAAAAAATAAATGAATTAACTAAAATTAATTTATAGCTAAATATTTTATATGTTATTTGCTTGCAGTTTATAAACCAAGGCTAAAGAATAGGCTATGAAAAAAACCTTCATCGATATAGTTATACTGTCACAACTTTAATTGGCTCATTTCTTTAGAAAATTAATGGGATGTGTGAATTGAAACGAGGGTAACTATGTAATCTGCCATATCTCTTAGGTTTGTGTGAAATTTGTTAGAACGATAACTAATTTCAAACGGAGTGAGTACATTAGCACTCAACTGATGCAGTGAGCAATTTGAAGTAGAGAATTACTCTCTCTCTCTCTCTCTCTCTCTCTCTCTCTCTCTCTCTGAAATAACCATGGCAAATTATAAGTTTCTGATCTCCGCCGCATGCATGAAGCTGGTGTGAACAGGAGCAACGACAATATGCAATGACGAATTCTTGTATATATGAGTATATGACTGAAAGTAAGAACACACTTCCCTGCAGGAACCTGTACAGAACACATCAAAGGCACCCAATTCGATGGCCGCCGTGCTTGCAGTAATCACTGATCCGTGCAACACACCATAGCCGGCAATTTAGATCGAGTTGGCTTTGGAAGAACAGCCAAGCAGTATGACACACACACATTCTCTGCTCGTACAAGCTACTACAAATTGCTAGCTACGATCGATCTGATCGAGCGTACTCATGTCTAGCTAGCTGAATCGATCGATGCATGTATGTATCTTATATTCTACCTGTTGTGGAGGGCATCGGGGCAGCTTGGAATCCGCCGCTTGTCGTCGGCGAACCGGGCGGCAGCTTCAGAAGCCGACGACGAGCTCCACCTCGGCGCCGCCGCGGGGACCGGCCGCGAGCCGACGGCGTACGACGACCCCGACGAGAGTCTCGCCGGCGTCGGCGCCTGGAACGCGTCTGCCAGGCTGATGCCTCCGCCGCCGCCGTGGAGCCAGAGCGCCCACGCCAGGCACAGGATGAGCGCGAGGCGACGGCGAGGCAGCGGCGTCGTCGCCGGCGGTGGCGGCATCGAGCTAGCTTAGAGAGTGAAGAAATGGTCGGTGTTTGTGCTTGGAAAGCTAGGCTTTTGGTTTAACTAGTTAGGTTAGCGTTGGCTGTTTCCGCTCTGAAACAAATAATGCGTGTGAGAAGCGGGAATCAAGGAGAGTTGCCCCAAGTATATAAGTTTGGAGTAGTATAATACACTTCGTTTTCTACTGGAAGAAGAAGATTTTACAGGTGCAACACATTAACAATTTACTTGGTTGACCACCTGAAAATCCTAGGTAAATTACATTAGTTAAGAGCATATGGGTGCAGATGTGATATTAATTAAGTTACTGTGTTACTCCTAGCTACTCCTCCGTCCCATAATATAAAAAGTTTTACAGTTTGACATGGTTATTAAAAAAGTATGTAGGAGTAAATGGTGGAGGATTGTGATTGGTTGGAAAAAGAATGTTGGTGAAGAAGTTGTTATGTTTTAGGATAAATCTTGAGAGCTAAAAGTTATTATATTTTGGGACGGAAAGAGTAATTACATCTAGAGACTGAATGCCTCATTGCCTGGTAAAAAAAATACTAATACAAGTAAGTACAGTAGTCCTACTCCTGAGCAGTATAGAAGAACAGTAGTAGCAGTCCTGAAACTGAGAATCACGGGCAAGTAGGGAACTTGTTTAATCTCTGGCAGTACGACGTAGGACCTTCATCAGAGTAGAATAATAGTAATTATAATAATGAGTTACTGATCGAGAGGAGGAGAGGTAGTACTACTAGTGTAGTACAACAGCAAGTGCAAGAGATGCTGCAGGGTGACGACGACTGTGCCGCGGCGCGTTACACCGTGCCGCGATTGGGGCTGACGCTGGTGTACGGCTCCCCGCCTCGCCCGGGGTCCATTTGCCCGGACCCAGCGACGACGACGACGACGACGACGACGGATAGCTCACATGCGCCACGGCCGGCCTCCATCTCAATCCATCCATCGTATAGGTTGCCTTGTTGCTACCTTTCTCCTTTGCACGTGATGAACTTGCCTGGACGAACACCAATTGCTGTACTTTCTTCTCAAAAATGGAGCTAGCTTTTTTTTCATTGCCTTTTACTGTTCCACTTCATCCGTTTCACAATGTAAATTATTCTAACATTTCTCATATTCATAGTGATGTTAATGAATTTAGATAGATATATATGTCTAAATTCATTAACATTAGTATGAATATAGAAAATGCTAGAATGACTTACATTGCGAAACTGAGGAAGTACAAAACAAGGCAGGGGTATGCAGTTTGGATCTAATGTTCGGTGTTCAGTTCTCTTTGGTTGTTCAGCATTTTGTTTTCCAAACCGGTGTTAATTGTAAAATGTCATGAACAATGTTTGGCATTTGTTCTAGCATTTAGGTGAGTCGTTTATAGCCGTATTATTCGCTCAAACGTCCCCTGTTTTGCTGCTGCTGCTGCTGCTGCTATTTTTCTGCACTAGAAATTAGAAAACGTCCAAAAGGATATCAAACAAAACAACCGCCAAACATTAGGCGTGGACTGTCTAGTATAGCCGTAAAGAGAACAAATTAATAGCATATGGCAATTCAATCATGGGGTGCCATTGTTACCAATAATGCTGTCAGATGAATGCTTCCCACCACAAGTCCATGCTACTGCTGATGCACAAGGGTGTGCATCCATCTCACCCAGCAATTTAATTTTATTTTGTTACAATTACCGGATTCTTTCGGGCTGGCCGTCCTCGTTCCTCCTCATGGCTGCTCGCTTTCTACTTGCTTGAGCATCTTCGAGTGGGCTTCGACTATCTAGTCCTCATCTTTTGGCAGCATTGAAAGGAGCGAAATTCTAGAATTCTTGATTTTTCTCTCTCCTAGGTCTCTGTGGTTTGAAAGTCCATCCTTCAGGAAGGCTGTTTGTGGTCTTGTACTAATACCGTTGTCTTTAGAGGCTTATTGGAAGAGTAGTATGGCTCCGCCTCCACCTTCTGAGTTGTGAACACGCCGTTGTCTTTAGAGGCTTGTTGGAAGAGCAGTATGGCTCCGCCTCCACCTTCTGAGTTGTGAACAGCCTTCCAGTAGTAGTTTTTTCCTTTACTTTGGTGGTTCTTTTTTTTTTCTTTGTTTCTTGTCCCCAGGCAATGACCGTATGACCAATTGCATTGTTTAAAAATATATTATGTCTTCTTGTAATATATTGACATGCAATCATTTTGCGCATTCGTGAAAAAAAAATTACTGGATTCTTTCCAATCCCAGCTGATCGATGAGAAGCAACAACACAAGGTGTGGGGCTGTTTGGATCCTAGTGATGATCACAGCTACAATGGCCATGTCCTTTCTTTTCCTTCCAGCTGAAGAAGCTATTGATAATTTGTCCTGTCACTTAGGGCTCCCACATAGTAACACCCAGCTGCAACTCGCCCAATAAAACGAACCAGCAAGAACAACAAGTCACAGGCACTGTCCTCATGCATGGTTTGCCCTTTGTATTTTTGTGAGTTTTTCTGCCCTAGTTGGATAGGGCCCAAGCTAACTTGAATGGACATGCCTGGGGCTAATGACAAACTAGTCCGGTTCATCACTACTGCCCCAGTGACATGACCACCGGAAATGGAAATATATATATAGTAGTACTTCTGATCACAGATATGACAATTCAGATGGGTACAACATGTACACATGCCCAGCCATTTTGGCCATTTTCCAGCAAAAGACAGCGTATATAATCCACTAGAAGAATTCGATCAGTTTTCTCTTCTCAATAAAACAAGAACAACAAGAATTCAGTTTCACCCACAGCTACTTAAAGACTACAGAGACAGTGGTAGTAAAACTGACATCCTTGTGGGTTTCACAGGGAAACGATGACTTGTACAAGCCAAACAGAAACAGAAGTGAAGTGAAGTGAAGAGAAAATTTGCATAAATGAGAATTCAGACCTCGGCCTTGTGCTCGGGGCGATGGGTGAACTCGAAGTCGACGTGCACAAAGGCGCGCTCGACTTCGGGGAGTTGCTCCAGCTTCTCCTGGAGCGACTCCCCGATGTCGTGCGCGTGGCTGAGCGGCATGTCGCCGGGGAGGACGATGTCCACCTCCACGAAGTAGTGAGTCCCGAAGGTGTAGGCCCTCACCGTGTCGATGTGCCGGATCTCCTCGTGGTGGTTCCATATCAGGTACGTCAGCTTCGTCAGGTACTCCGCCGGCGCCGACCTGCCGATCAGCGTCCCCACGTTCTCCACCACCGTCCGAGCCCACGTCGTGATCGTGTACACCGCGATCTGCATATCCACCATTAATTCTCACATGGAGTAGCTAGCAGAGTGGCAGGCAGGCAGCAATGGGGGCACTCACCAGTATGGCTCCGACCGGATCCATCCACCATTTGTACCGGACGGCGAGGAGCGCGCTGACGAGGCCGACCGAGTTGGTGATCACGTCGAAGAAATGGTCCTGCGCGTAGGCTCTCACGATCTCGTTCTTGAACGACCGGCAGTAGAGCATCAGGAAGAACTTCACCACTGCGACTGAGGACATGCTGCCGATCATCCACAGCTCCTTCCTGTGGTCGAACACTTGGTGCTCCTGTAAGGCCATTGCATATAATAGATTAAGCTAGTGTCAGCTGATAAATCACATAAATAATGGATTATGAATTTGACGAAGAGTGTTCGTGGGTACATTTGTGATAAGCTGACGCCCGGATTCAATTAGCACTTGGAAGCCAAGTGTACCCATTACAGATGCAAATACTATTATGCCCTGAAAATAACAGGTTATTCAGTTAGCTCCAATAGTTGTCATGAAGCAATAAGAAGCAGGTAATCTGAAATCTGAAAACTCTGGAATTTTGTCTAGATCATTTTAGTATCTCTAGCATAAAAGCACAGCTTAAGTTCGGAGTAATGCAAAACTGATAAAAGAGAACAGATTTTAATTAACCGAGTCATTACCACTGGCTGCATTCGTCTCTTCCCAATTGGATAGCTATACTTGTTGGGCTTTTTCATAGCATGTGCAGTAAACCAGAGTATGAAACCTGACAAAAGATCCAGTAGGGAGTCCAGTGTCGATGCTATTACTGCCATCGATAAACTTTCAACTGATGCAAGAACTTTCCCAATGAAAAGAATCAGATTGATGATATTCGACAGGTTGATGGCCAATCGTTCGCCCTTTGCCATTTGCCTCAACTCTTCCTAACAAAACAACATGAAGATATACTTCATATCACTATGTGTATAGAAGACAAAAAAAAAAAGAAATATACAGCATCCAATTTATAGTTACAAATCTGGCAATTGCATATTGCATTGAGGAAATGTGTTCTCTTAACAAGATTTTACCTCAGTAGGAGCATTCTGATCTAAGGAACCAATCTCATTCATGGTTTCCATCTCGCTGAAATCCTTCAGGAGATTTTCCTGCTTCTTGTAGTATTTTGCAATTTTCCGATGCTTTCCTGTTATGGGGCACCGACTTTTTCAGTACTCAGAAGTACTAATAAACGAAATAATCAAAGAAAGAAGAGAGTGTTAAACCAAATAGTTAATTAAGCTTAATGGAACTTATCATTTTTCAGTCCATAGCATGTTCCACATGCATTTAACAGCTTGATCAATCAAGTTAAAGTACTGTTCGATTGAAACATGGTATTCCACTAGGATAAATGCATATGCTAATTCACAGTTTCACACAAGGAAAAATATATATAGTCCAGATTGGAAAGAGTCCTAGCAGCATGGGAAGTGTCTTCCTTCAGTTCCTTGCTACTAATGGACCTAATGCAGTGGACGTAATTAGCAAACATAGTTGAGTAAGAACATTATTCATAGGTGAAGATAAAAGACTGAACAAGACTGTATGAGCCTTCCTTCCTTTTTTGGGCTGGTCCTCAAATAAAAATCTGTCTGGCCCATTATATTTTCGGGCTGGGCCTCAAAATCTATCACTCTTTTGGACCCCCCATTGGGCCATCTCTAATGCTATGTGCCAATATAAGGTTGATAAGTATGTCTATATGTAATTGCAATACAGTAAATTGCAGTCTGTGCCATCTTTTAATCGATCTATTTTAGATCACCCTTTAATCAATCTTTTTTACTTTGGACTAGATAATTTTAGCGTTGTTTTACGTTGGACCACTCCTAG